TGATAGCACTAAGGTGGATTTCAAGAACAAAAGGAACTTGCCTTGCATGTTAGAATGAGAGCTTAATTATAAAAGCAATGATAACTGCCAGGCTATTAGTTTGAAACCCAACGGTTAGCACACGTAATTGTTTCTTGGTAGGTCAATTTCTAGCGAAAATCTCATTAACTCGGTGGTTACCGTTACGATCTGCAAATCGAAGCTGATGCATGAACTAGTCTTGGTATCTTCATACTTGAATAAGGAATCTGAATAGTATTGACACCGCATTCTAAAAGCCTGTACTTTTTAAAATTAAGTGAGACATCACGGATAAGCACTGGTTAACCGAATTAAAACTGGGGTGAAACAACTTTTGACTGGTGTTTTCTTACTGGTTTTCTCTGCATTCATTTCAACTTTTTCATTTACATACAGCTATATAAATTATGTCGTTTTAACCACACCTCTAATATATACAAAGTATACTACTTTTGAGTCCAAAAGTCTGAGTTGGTTCAAATAAAAAATCATCTAAAAGGGAGATGCATAGTGTTAAGGATTCCAATTGAAATGGAAATCCACTGAGCTACCTCGTTTACATTGATATATTGGGTGACGAGTCATACATGCTTTCAGCCAGTGGGTCGAAGATCTGAAAACCGCTCCACCTACCGAGGTTTGGGCAGCCAGGTAGTATATTTAGCACTCACACATTAGGTGTAACTCAGCGCCTACTACACGAACGTGCACAAGGTTGCAGAGTCTTCACGACTAGCAGAATCTGAACGCTTCGGAACAGTGAGCTTAATACAGAGCGGAAGAAGTGCACATTATTGGTTATAGCAGGTGTGCAATGAAAAATAAAAAAGTCTACTTTTCGTAACAAGCAACTAAATCCCTCAAAGAAAATTCTTGATATCTGACTTCATACTGAAGTAAATTCTGATGACGTTGTATAGACAGACAATGAAAGTTTCACAGTTAAGCCATCCGGCTAAGAGAACGCAACTCAACGCAACAAAGATCCTCCAAATGAGCTACAAATACTCTTCATCATTTCATAATTGGCTAGTTCACAAAGTAACGGTGCTTGAATGTGTTTGATGTCTACAGTATAAAGGAGGATGGATGTAGTGTATTTAGTTGCCAACATAAGCACAGTTTTTCAGTAGTTTTCATCGTGGACTGACATCATGTGAAGAAGAATTGAAAACCTGGGAGTAATATGTGCTTCCAAGGTTGGTGCACTTAACTACTGTGTACATACAGATACTGTTTTCACTGTAGCAAAGTGAACGTTCTTTATTCAATGATTTTGTTCAAGAAGTAAAATTAAAAATAAATTTTAAAGATATAACTGTTTAAACTTGGTAGAATAAAATAAATGTTTACAACCATATGGTAATCAAATACCGAGGAATTCCCAAGTGAGAACAACTATAGTGTTACATTTTATTCATTCAAATAATCTAACCGGAAAAATTAAACCAATTCTTTTAAAAGAAAGAACAAATGCATTATTTTGATTGGGGAAGAAATTATTCATCAGGTATGAATGTATTTGTTAAACTGAACACATTCAACTGGTTTTTTCGAATTTCTTGTCATTTATTTCGCTTGACATTAATACTATAGCTGAGATTTTGTATTTTTAAACCTTCATTGAAATCACAACAGACTTCACTTCCGTCTACAGTGTAATCTATAAAAATACATTCTACCTATATATTGGCTTGACTGCAGAAGACAAGGATTTCCATTAAAATTGGAAACCCCCCGAATCAAACTCACCATTTCTTGATGTCTTAGATAAAAGTGTTTAGTTTTTAATAAAAATTATCTTCAAATTATTCCATCAGTCTATGCAAGTATATATCACTCTGCCATATACATGGGGGTTGACAGAGTCTGAAATTTGAGCAGAGACATAAGACGACCATCTGAAAAACACACTACGCACCAATGGCCAACACTATGGAGAAAAAGGAACTTACGTTCTCCTGTAAAACCTCGCAGGATTTAAATGATGGAGCCACATCCAACTACGTTTATTAGATTACATGTTTGTGTGGTCACCTGTACATAGGCAAGACAAGCCCGTCTATACAGTTAAAGTTTACACAGCACATTCCTAAAAGGTTGCAACAACAAATCGAATCGAACCATCCATAGACCTAAGCAAAATATGCCCAACTCCGTTTACAGATACACGTACCTCTGCAACGGGTCAAAAGGTTGATTTGTGTGCATCTTTTCAACTTATTTACAAAACCGATTGAAGACAGAAACTCATGTTTCTTGAAGCTATGTCTATAAGGAGGTTTAGACCTCTTTTCATGTATTCATAAACAATCTATTGTTGCATTAAACTCCCTTAGGTAACTCAGCTTTAATATCAGGGATGATCAATGTAATATCTTCCTTTTTCCATTTAAAATAAAAATTTGACCCGTTATCATAATGACTGCTTTTTAAAAGCCATTTATCCTTTGTTACATTACATATAAATATGCATGACAAGAGAGTGTGTGATTGCTGACAAAATATTGTGCGTAAACGTCATACAATTAAGATAAGCAACATGATACATTGAACTGATGTGTGTTTGCACAGCTGATAGGACCCACGACCTTAGGACTATAGGTACGCCTCAGTAAACAAGTCATACCCAAGCATAAACTAAAATGTTGACCACAAATTTGTTAGACCTTACCCATGGCGCAGTACATGAGCACCCGAGAAAGTTTCCAAAGCTTTGTATGTTAAGCAAGGTCAAACAAGTTTTTACCAAACAGTGCCATCATTCTACTTTAGTCGAAATGTATGTGCAATGACCATTGTGAAAAACCAGGCAGTAGTGATATTATTATGACATTTATTTGTCCCTTGGGATCCTAGTGGAACATAGGGCTTCAATAGCACACCTCCATTCCACTCTCTCCTCTACAATCTTTTGAACATGGCTCCACGAATGCCCACAAGCTCTTATTTCTTCCTCACACCATCTCCTCCATGTGACCCTCACCTCGGACGACCAACTCGCCGTTTCCCATCTGGGTTCCACTCAAGTACCTGCCCTGGCGCATGATGTCCCCGAATGCTCTTCTCAGTGTATGCCCAATCCATCTCCACTTCCTCCTGCATATTCGTTGAGCGATAGCTTCTTGGTTGGTTCGTTGCCAGGCAGCCGGAGTTCCTTGTTGCTTAGTCTTATTATTCTGCCCATCTGAGCTTCAGTAACGGGCGTAGGCAATTGTTGATGAATATCTGTATTTTGTCACAAATGCTTTTCATAACGCTCCAACTCTCTGAACCATCACATAGAAGCACTGACTTGACTGATATTAGTGTTGAAAATCCGCATCTTGTTCACGCTTTATGCTGAGTGCAGAAGATCTCCACGCTGGTTCCAGATTGATGAACACCTGTCTTGCTTTTCCGATCCTGGCTGGCTTTGACGTCCTCATCTGTGTCTGTGCCTCCTGTAGTTGAAACGATGCCACGTTGCCTAGATAGGTGGAAGAGGCTACTTCCTTTAGGTTTCTCCCGTTGATGGTGATTGGAGCTTATTGTTGTTGGTGTTGGTGTTGTTGGTTGGGTATCATCATCACCTCTGTCTTCTCTACGTTCACTTGAGCTACCGTCTTCTCTGCCTTTCCTCTTCTGTCAACTTGTTAGTTTTCGCCTGTAGATCTTCGAGTTTGTGAGACAAGACATCAGACACAAATCATTATCGGCGAAATCCAAATCTTCTAGGATCTTTTTATCGGTCCAGCCAACATATCCCCCTCTTCTTTCTCCTCATGGTTTGTTGCATGATCCACTCTACCACAATCGGGAAGATCATGGGTGATAGTAGATATCTTTGTTTTACTCCTGTCTTCATTTCACTTCAAAAGCATCACTGAGCTTTCCACTGTGAATTATTTGACATGTGGCGTCTTCATATAGTTGTTGAAGAAGTTTGATAAAGGTTTGTGGTATTTCGTAGTGTTGAAGTAGTTGCCTACCAAATTACTTCTCAGTCGATGCTGTCGAAGACCTTTTCAAAGTCGATGAAGTTGAGGTAGGGAGTTGACTGCCATTCTATGCAACTAGGTAGTACTGAATGACAAACATTGTCAGTTATATGCCTTACTTCTAATCCCGGGTTCAAGTTTAAGAACAACAGCTTATTTTTCTTTGTGTTCTTTTGATACTTTGGTAGTCATTTTAAGCATTTTAAGCATGTATACTCAAAATAAGCTTTATGAGACTAAGACCATCTTCCATTTATGATTACTTTCTTTGAATGAATCTTGTATCTATCTACTCTATCCCGATTTCGCACATTGTGCCATATGATAAGTAAATTTGAAGTTGGAAAGGTGATAGATTCTTGTACGCAATTTAAGTACTTTGTCTCTTGTTTCTCAAAAAATGCGAAAATCCTACCAGCTTCATTTTAAACAAAAGCTAACATTTTCATGGAAACGTTTAGATTGTTATTCATATACGTTTAATACATAAAAAATAAAATTTGTTTTACATTTTAATTTGAAGAAATCTGTTATTCTATGCTTCAGTTGACTACGTTATTTCCACATACCAATCTGTGTCACATTTAGGCTACCAACAAACACAGCATAATGAACTGACGGTTTGGCATATAATCATAATTTAGAACTTCATCTTTTTACCTAGTCCTAAAGTATTTGACAGTTCAAAACACAAACAGATCTACCTAAGTAACATGAGCATTTGACATGAATGATGAGTGAAGCTATAAATAAAGCCAAAGTGCTCCAGTCAGGGACCTTCAAATTAGTCACATACTGCCATGATATTCAAATCAAAGATTGAAAACTCTATGCATACCAGTCGTTGCAGCTTTTTCACCTTCAAGTTTCCTTTTTACCAGGCTTTCACCAAGCCAATTCGAAAAAATTCTGTTTTTAAAATACTTAATTATTTATCGATAGTTCTTTTTTTTTGCTTTTTTTAAGTGTTTCTTTTCTGTTATGATTTAAATATTCTAGAATGTGACTATCTAATAAACCGCCAAGATTCAATGGAAAAGCAACTTGAATCACCCACAATGAATAATCATTTTGTTTTAACACCGAACAGAGTATGCAATTTCATTTTTATCGGTGGTCAATTCAAGCATTTCATTGAAACTGTTTCGATTGGATTTGAACGAATTGAACTGCCAAAACCGAGAGAAGGAAGCAATATGTAAGCATTTTATCTTAATTTCATGACTTGTTAGTTCCCATTACTGATTAGTTTGGACCGAGTTGAGCGGCCACTGTTCGAGTATTAGTGAGAACAACAAAAGTTATCGGAAGGCAGGTGCATTTAATTGACATGTTCCAAGTTAGACAGGACGTCAATCTTGAATTCCACTGCGGACCCCCTATTCATACTTTACCATTTATCCTGTTTAGTTGAAAAAGTTCCACGTTTATTATAACTAGTCTTTAGGAAGCAAAAATTATAGTCCCATTATTCAAATTATGATTGCATTATCAGTTATCAGATTGCAAATCTGTGAAAGTGATTGCTTAACTTCATAAAGAAAAAGAAATGTAATTAATACAGAACCGGGTACCTTGTACAGAGATATTCCGTCAGTAATGGGAAAGAAGATAGAAACTGTGTGTAGGGATGCTTATTTGATACAATTCACAATCCTCAAACAACTGCCTAACTTGATACTCACATAACAAGCAACCTAATAGAAAGACTTTATTTAACATTGACAGCTTGCGTTTGTTGGGGCTAAACATCCTCTAGAATTAAGGCTATTCAGATATCACTGAAATCTCTTTGATATTGAAATTATCAATCTGCCTAAAGTTCTAGTCACCCCAAGTGCTGATGAATTTACGACAGCCACTTCTTGTACAATCAGTAGTAGTTATTATTATTTATTTATGTACTTGTAATTCTGCGTTGAATTATCAGTACTTAACTACTTATTTATTTAGTCAAATATTACAGTTCGAGTCCAGCTAGTTTCCTTTCAGAATTTGAACAAATGGCCATCATTCAATAAGCGTTCCGAATAACCTTATACATAAATCTCTTCATAGCTAACCTGATTTTTCGATTGCTATGGACACACGATTCCACAAATGAAGGGGAATGCGGTATTATTAACTTAAAATAATGTTATCTTCATTCATGTCAGTTTGATGTTGCTTAGTTGAAGATTACGTGATTGGTATCATGTCTAGCTTCATTGTTTCCATAAATTTAAAGGACTTTGAATACTTTCATGTTTTAAAATCCTTTCAGTTGGATGTAAAGGTTTCCTGTGTGAATACACAGGCCATTGTATATACAATGACTTAGAATGCAATGAAATTCCAAATTGCGGAATGTATCAAAAGGATGGGAAATGGTTCAAAGATGAGTCAGATGAAACAACAAACTGTAAGTTATCACTTCGGATTTTGAAATGATTGGTCTTTTTTATGGATTCGGATAGTGTAATTAATAAACGAAGTTTGTTTCAAAAATATGATTTATTCATCCAAAGCACTTGATACCTTATTATCAATAAAGTAAATATACAGAGTAAAGAAAACTTATAGCTCAAATAAATTGCATTATTCAGACAATCTAAGTCTTGTAATTTCCGCGTAAATTTTATTTGACCAATTTATAATTGTTTATCCTGATTGAATTTAACACTGTTTTCATGAAATTTGTCGTTGAAGGTCACTTAACATGAATAGATTTCACTTAAGAAAAAAAACATCACTTGCTCTATTGGTAATCATCATGGACATTCAGGCTATTCGAAGACCAACTAGTAGGTTCATCTACGTACCTATCTTATGGCGATTGTCCTCTCAACTATCAGATACTTGACACCAACCTTACCACATGTGCTGCTGACAAAAGTAGGCTGAGACCGCTCACGAGAATCAGCAGGTATCACTAGGCACACTAAAGGAATCTAATTATCGTGCACTTGTTACATTTTTTTGACACTTAGACGTTCTGAAAACTCTTTTTCCCCTTAGTCATACATTTATTTCGAGTATAAATACGGATATCTGTGTGATTATTTCCCATTTGAAAAAAATTGTTTCACATGTAAATGCCTACTGAGTTAGATAGCCCTTTACACACTTCAACGTTTTTGGATATTTGCTGTTTGTGTGGCCATCAAAGATTGTATGCAGTGCACAGTATTTCTATTGATGATGACAAGGTTTGCATAATTTTTCAGTAGTTGACAACTGAAGAATATGCCTGTTATCCACAAAACGATGATTACTGCTCAGAAAGATAGATGGAAACTGAGAGAATTCCACAAGTCTGTATGGTATTCGGGCCAACTAGCTCAATGGTAATAACGTCGCTAACTGCAACACTGAGTGACGCAGGTTCGAATTTCATATCACTTACCTCTATGTTGCAGATACGTCTTGCTGACGAGTGGCAAGAAACAAGAATTCTGGATTCTAGGCTTCTTGTGTATTCCTTCCTACTAATTAATATCTTTTCAAGTGAAATGAGATCCTCGGACTAATAGCTTGGTGGCCATATTGCAAAATAATCCATAGATTCCGATCAGCACTGAGGACTAGACAACATGAAATTGGTTGCTCCCTAGTGACCAATAATTCTAATAGTTTTTGCATTCGTATTGTATATTATATCTTCAACTCCCGTCCACTTATCCCTTTATCAGTAACAGTATAGAGAATATCTTTAGACTATTGCCATACATACAATGAGTGAAAGTTGTTCCTAAGGCATTTTTTCGGCTTTGTTGTTAAATGACTCCAATGTCATTGGTTCGTGATTTCGGCATCATTCTAGGAATCATTTTCAGTTCAGCTGCACATGAAAATAAATCTAGTATATTGCTTATAACTATTCATAGAAGTAATTTCAACTGATTTGTATAACGGGAATGCTTAATCCATATCTTCTTTCTTAATTGATCTGATGATGGATATTGCACTGGGAATGTTTGTACTGGATTTACCATGATCTCTTTCACTCACACTAAAATATATTCACTTTGTGCTTGTGTATGTGTGTGTTTGTAACAGTTTGACTGCTAGAAAATAGATGCAGTTTGAGTCTTGTTTTCCAATGAAATCAAGTCAGTCCACCCAAAATCTAACGTTACAATGCCCCAGTGACAGCCACCAAAGCGAACACTTGAAGCTTTAGTAGAAAGAAACATGTTATGAACATCGAGAACCTGAGTTACAAGTACTTGTCACCAGTTCACTGCATTAAAAAAAAGTAGTGTTTACGCTAAAGTCCACATAATTACTAATCTTATGAAGGTTATATCCAGTATCATGAAGCTTTACTTGAAACCAATACCAAACTGTCAAATAAGCTGAGTTGATATGAATGAAATAATCATCTACATGGGACTGAATTGTAAAAGACATAAAATTCAACATCATTTTTGTTAAAGTATACTGCGTTTCACGTTTTCACTTCAGACTGCACTGAGCTGCCGATCAGTTAAGATGCGAATAACATGAACTGTATATTTGTATCTCATGGTCTATCCTGTTTAGTCTATAGAGAATAATAGTTTAACATTTAGTCTAATTTGTACAATGCGCAGTATTTGTTATTCGCTTATGGGTCATGCTAAGCATAAACTAAGAGGAAAGCGAACATATAAAAAGGCATAATTTGTTTCCAATTTATGTACCTCAAAAAAGCAACTAGGCGGTGATTGATTGGAAATTCAATGTACAAAACCACGCATATCTTCCAGTTTCTGTTTTCACTGAATAGACAAAAGAATGGAATTTTACTTTAATTACTAAAACCATAGGCTATTAATACCTTTAAAGAACCTTTTACTGTTTATAGACTTAAATTCACATTTATCTCGTGTGTACTGAGGAATGCCTTACTTTTGGTCGCAATAACAAAGTACTCAGCTTAGTATGAGGTTGAGTGACATAGTTATTTAGGAGAAAACACTAACGTAGGATGCTAAAACTTTTCAATGCTAACAAGCATTCCTTCAAGATAAATGAAAGTCAAACATTCAAGTAATGGGGATTGATTAAAATCTTATGTTTAAGACAGTGCTAAACAACTGAGGTTATGCTAGGCTGAATCGCAACCAACGTCATGAATGCGAATTCTGTAAATGCTGTTGATAAACTATAATTAAATTCACTTCTTACTAAAGGTATTCAATTTTTTTCCCTTTTGGAACAGGTTCTTTCGGAACAAGCTATAATCTAGCTCATATTGGTACAGGTATACTTCTTGCCTTGATTCTTCTCCTTGGTATAGCCTGTTATATTTATTATCGTGAATATAAACGTAGAAAAAATATGCCATTGGATCCACTGACAGAATTAACTAGTTCAAAGCATTCACTGGCATTAAATCAACCTGCGCAAAAATTGAATGCACATTGTTCAAACAAAAAACATCCACTACACAAACATCATAATTCTCAGACTGCTGGATTATTGTGCGATTCGTCAAATGAGAAAGAAATAGTCTTTACTGATAGTGGTTCGGTCAAAAAGCACCAACATCACCGTCACCATTACCAGCATCAACACATACCACACTCACATCAAATTCCACCGCATACTCACTCTCATCGTCATTATCATCACAATCATAATCGAAAGATGTTTGAACAAGGCGGACATTCACAATCGATCAATACACAGCATGTTTATCATGCTGCACACTTTCTATCAGATAATCAACATGATCACTTTCGTACAAATCGGTCAAATAGTAAAATGCAACACAGAACGCCATCACACTCAGGATCTCTCGTTAAAAATGGTGGGGGTACAGTGATATCAGATTCTTTGCATAGTAGTACAGGTAATAATACAGGTGGATTATTTGTTGGGGGGACAGGAACAAACATGCCGACTAACATAGATGGAGGTTTACTTATCAGAGAAAAAATGCAGAAAATATCAATAGTTTAATTTTTGAGAATAAAGAAAATCAGCTGTAAATAAATTTGTATCCTGTTCTACTTTATTTCTTAATCATTATGTCTCAGATGTAACTCCAAATTTCATGTGTTCTATAGTTAAACAGGGACATTTTTATTATTGCTATTATTATCATTATTATTATTAAATATATAAAGGAGAATCCTCTTAGACAGTACACTTGTGACTACTAATCATTCCATTGTATCTCTCTGCTAACCGCAAACTATTCAACAAGGCACAGAGTATACCTACAATTCAGGATACAAAATACGATAGTTTTTTCTTTGTTCCTTTCTCTATTTATCTACTGTCTTTGTGACTTACCTTCTGCTAACTTCACTATTGTTTTTCCACTGTAAAATTGGCCGTTCAGTGTAGTGTATGTCTGTATGAATTCTTAGTATTCTCTTTGCTGTATTTTGGATTAGCCTGACATACGGTATGTTACCAATTTTTAGACGCCGTTTTTAAAGTATTTCAATAGTCTGGCATTTTCAAACTTATTTTCATTCTGTACTGTGAGTGTAAATACTGCAGTTAGTCATGTTTAAAATCATTTGTAAGCAAAGCTTTGTTTTTGTATAAAGGCAATCAAAACTACACACTATTTTTTCGTTCTTCTTCACTTTCCTCCTGTTTTCATTTTCCGCTTTGTTATTTTCACTCCTTTTTATGGTTTATAAATTTCCCATATTTACTGAAAATGGTGATATTCTGACGACCTTCTTGTTGGCAATGAATTTTTGTAAGAATGCATTTATCTAAAGTTATTGATTATTTTTCAGTCCTTCGTTTACTTTCATGTGAAGTGATGGAGCACATAGTTGCAAAGGGGTCATTACGGTTGCCTGGTGATGCCAAAGTTCAGTTTCTAATAAATAATTATATAACAAATTAGTTTAAACTAAGCTGCTCGATTTTAAATGATAATAGGACAGTGTTTCTTACTAATCACCTATCCAGTTGTTACAAAATCTCTGTAAACCAACTGGTTTATCACCAAGAATATACAAAGAAATTGGAAAAATTGAAGGAATTTCCGAGACAAATAGAAAATCAGAGCCGAAATGTATTCAGTAGAAATGTTTGATATAGCCTGCCTTCTAAAAGCACACTCAACTGATTATTACTCCGTATCTAATTAACTATTTGTTTCTTTCTCATGTCTCAGTTTACTACCTTAAATGTTTATGAACTATATTTTAGTTTCATCAGACAGGACAAAGTTGCTGCTATGTCAGAAGGCAACTAAAAACAATCACTAGAAAATATTTGAGTTCCATTTCAGAAGTTTTGAAGTTCATTCTGTCAAGGCTCCAAAATATCTTTAAAAATAATGAGCTTAAACTCTGAGGTGACCATTTGAAATTTTTTAATAGTGATAGGCGAAAAGTCATAATCTTCTTGGAACTTGTATGAGTGTGTACAGTTTTGCATTTGTCTGGCCTAAACTCTTAATCAAAGAGTCAAATTACATAATGCTAAGGGAATTTCGGTAAGCAGCCAGATATTTTCATTGGATTACCGCATTCCGACTGATGCTGAACTGCCGAACTGATTTGAAAATGGTGTTGTGGCTCCCAATATGTAACATTAGGATTAAAAAGTTTTATTTAAAAAGTCATGTTTCCAGATGGTGCTGCGGGTAGTTGTGACAGTTATTAAGGGATGTATTCTCCAAACAAAGTTTGAATAAGAATAATAAGGGTAATGAATCCGCCCAATGGAATCGTTAAGAGCAGGGAATTCCAAGTGATATAAGTCGGTCAGAGATTTTCTACAGGAAATGTATAGACGCAATATCTCAAGTAACTGTCTCCATCTTCTGAATTTTACAAAATATGAAGTATGTTGGCTGAGTTTATGCGCAAGTTAATAATGTAGCTTAAAGTAATACAAGTTAAACGTCTTCAGTACCCTCAACCTCAACCTCTGCAATTGTGAATCTAAAAAATATATTACAGTAAACGATGTAAGTGTAGACAAACCCAAAACGAAATACACAGGTCTGAGTTGCTCACTCTATAGCAGATGAACTACCTATCTACTCCATTTTCCTTGTTGAATTTTTGAAACCAATTAATTCGATGCCATTTTCAAAACTTGGGGATCTATGGATCACATCCAGAAAGCTGAATGCTCCAAGAGACATTTTCCTATGTATAAACCATTTCACGAAATTAATGTGACAGTTCTCCAGTCTGACTGTAGTTTCGATGCTGAACGCGTCGTATATAACGTCACACACTTCCCCAAAATCAATAGCCTGCGGTTCGATGAGACTCAACATTGGTGCTGACCCTCATAGTATTATCGGACTCCCCTGACTGATGGGACATCCACGCCGTTTGGCACGCTTTAATGTTGCGTTGCACTGCTTGTTACCGATTCTCTGAACAGCTAGTCGGAACGCATCAATATTTTGACAAGATTCCTCAAATATGCTATTCCATCTGACCGAGCTATTGTGTTCTTCTTTGGTCTCGTATTCGTGAGTATATTACAAGTACGAATAATTAGTAATTGACCTCTGCGTCTGTTCAGTCCTCACACTGACAGTTCCCAAACACAACTGCGTCCACGTTATAGAGTATTCCGAGAGACCTGAAGGCCATCTTTGTTGCTAACTGCTCTTATCAATGTTTGACGATGGCAATCCGATTTTATATCACTTCGTCTTGCAACTTTACGTACTGATATTACATTTAGTAACAGGTCATTACGCAGAAATGCCATTTCTTATGTTCACAATTATTGACTCCGGATACAATAGGTTATGGCCCAACGGAAGTGAAAACGAAGTTAAAATTAAGTGTAACTGTTCTGATGAGCAAACTGAAGTTACTTTTTTATTATCAGCAGTGAACGTTTATAAAGGTGCAAAATTGCTTACTGGATGTTCGCAAGGTGTATAAGTGGAATCAAAAGGAAATAAATTATCTTGCAACTCGTTCATGCCTTAACAATTGCGCGACTACAAAACTGCACGGACTTCTGCAGATCTTGAAGTAGCTTTTCTAACTCAGCTTATGCTCTTCTGCTGGACCCATTCAGAGTAAATAATCAAGCGGACCATAGTCTGTCTAGATAAAAGGAGTCCGTAATCTGACGTTCGTTGCGCAACTGAATTACTACAGCTGCTCAGAAGGTTAGTGACAGTCAACAGTTAGTAACAGTGTAATGAAAGATCCTCATAATTGGTCAACCGCCGTGATGTTCGATTCTTTTTAAGCCTGTGATGGTTTCTTCACCGCAAAGCTTACATTCTTCGGTGTGAACCTCTGTAACAGCGTACCTACAAGCTAGAACAGCTGGTTGTTACCGGTTCTCATAGCTTGACATAACCAAGTGGATATCAGAAGTAAATAAATAGATACATAAGCTAAATACGTGGATATGTAGAAGCTGCACGCAAACAGGTAATTCTCCTAAGTTTGACGAGTGAAAGATGTTTTCTGAGGATGGCTTAGTCGTTGGCTTATTTCTCTTGGTTTGCCAGGGACAAGTGAAATAGCTGTCTCAGGACTAAGTTCACTGGACCCCAAAGCAAGCACTGTCACGGTCTTTTTGAATTAGAAGTTGGGATTTTCCTCTTGTGTGGCTGACGCTACAACTACCTGCAAGTGGTGAAAGCGTAACCCTGTTTGGCAGTTCAATTAAGTCTTGTAAACAACGTAAACAGATGAAATGCGGGATGGACAGTTCAAATCCCTGAACTGTTCTCAAATGGAAGGTGTTGTTGTCATCCACCAGCCTTTTCCTAACCAAGCCATAAAGCGCCCGATGACATGCTTCTCGACTGCCCATTTGCAATGTACAATGTGCTTAACTCTACAAGTGCATTCAGAATGATGTACACGTTTGAAAGTAAACAGGGGCGGCGAAACATACTGGGCACACTGGTTATCAGTTCCAGAACATCAAAAGTAAACTGTCAGGATGGAGAATAACCACAAATCGAGCCTTTTTTGCATTTTGACACCACAAGAGGTCATCTTCTTTCATCGTTTCATCGTTAACTCCTCCTTGATATCTGCTTCGCAGCAGCTGCATTAGAAGAGCATCACATTTGTGACTCCGGAATGCAAAGAAAGGATATAGTTCGTCTTCCTCTTAGGAGACAACCAGCTGTGGTGCTTCGTGACACCTTAGGCAGATTGGCTCTTAACGGCCGGGTTTCCCCAACAGATTGTTATCTCCTGTCTTCGACACCACGCCTAGGAAGCTGGATATGCAGTTCGATCACCCCTAGGTTGTTATGTTTATATTTATATTGTAACTCCAGAATCATGTAGACAGCCTGTAAGTTGAACATCCCTAATGTCGACTGACAAGAGTATCATCCGAATATCTTCTGGATGAGTCCATACCAAGTGAGGATCGAAGGTGGAACGAAAATTTGGACCACACCAGAATTCGGGCCAGCGACCACCAGACTTCCTGTCAAATGCTGCACGACCAAGCTGCGAGTTTAGTTTGATTATCATTTTCTCCCTATGTCCCGCTTCCACCCCTTACCAAGAAAACATCGGATAAGACAAGTAACGACTAAGTTGTCTTGATTGTAAATCACACTGTCACGCTTACTCTTACACTTAGAGTGCACCTTAGGCCAAGCTCTCTTAAGCAGTTCACTTGTGGTTCAATACCAATACATTAAATTCAGTGTAGCGACGCAGATAATCATTGATATAGACCAATGGTGTGCTCATAAACAAACGCAGAAAGGTCTTGCGGCATCTCACACTTTAATTTTATGATAGATTTCCTTGAAGCCGTCGATGACGTCAAAAATGTCCGCAACTTTTTTCTTAGGCAGATTTTACTTTAGGGGTTCAAGACGTCGAATAACATACTTCGACAGTGAATAATAAGTTGAGTTAATCGTATTCCTTATTTGCTGGAAGGAACACTATCGTTATACACCGTTATTGGACCATGCGGGCGGGACACGGCTGAAATGGGCGGCCCGATTTTTTCATAAATATTGGGGTCAGTTAGAAGCCCACTGGTTTCTCTGGCATTTGACGCTCAGTATCTTTGACAAGAACCACGTCTCCCTAAAAACAACTGTATCCACACCGGGATAAGAGCATATTGTTCTCGGATCCAGCAGTTAGCTTCCAGGACCACTTAGATTGCTTTAGAGCACGTTCTTGGCCCAGCGTAGTACAGTGACTTGTAGAGTGAGGCTGTTGCTGCATCTGGTGCTTGCCGTCAGTCCCTACTGAAGCGGTAGACACCCGAGTTCTGGATCTTCCTGAAATCATATTGTTGATGGTAATGGTGCGTTCATCATGACATCAGTGTGGACAGATTCTTCTGCAAGTCTCCTGTAACCAACATAGTGATAAGTGCTCTGGAAGGCTACCTTTCATCCCCTCATTCAGCAGAATTCAGTTTTCCCCTGTGACATCGTATTGCACCAGTCATTTGTTGCCTCACACTCGGGTCTGTTGGCGAGGGAATGTTTGATGAGGTAATGAAGAGTTCCTAGCTTAAAACTCTGGAAACAGATGCACTGGTGGTACGATAATCTTCAAGCAAACATGAACAGAATGACTGCTCGCTTTTTTGCGGCCCTGTGAGGTTCTCTCAGTTAGTAAGGCGTCCTGGGTGAAGGAATGGATGAGAGAGGTAATGCTGCGGGTGAAGCAACCCGGTATTAGACAGTTAAAGCCTCTATCTACCCCATAGTGATCCTACGGTGAAGTGATGCCGGTGACAATCAGTTACTATACTCGAACGAGGACTCAGCGGGGAAACTTAGTGAGTAGGATTGGTTTCTCGGTGATGAATAAGAATTAGGTGTAAACGATGTGTTCCATGTCTAACTT